TTGTGGCAGTAACCATGTTGTGGTTGTTGGTGAACAGGGCGACCTCTATGCGTGGGGAGTCGGACTAGGCGGACGACTTGGGTTGGGTCATGAGGACGACTGGTGAGGAAAATGTCCTTTAATACCAATGGTACCCGAAAATTTTGCCCTGATCTGCTGCTGAACTTGGGGAAACATTGCAAAATGGAAAAATTGCAAGACTCTGTGTAAAATTAAGTGACGGTAGCATAAAAACACCAGGAAAGTACAGTCAACCCCCCCCCCACACAAAAGACCTCCCACACAAAATATTTTTGCACAACAGACTGCCTCTGGAGGCAGTTTTCTCTTCCATGCAGTGGACTAAATCCATATAACAGACTCCTGTTGGTTTAAAATTAATGGTGAAAAATAAAAATGTTATTTTTTAATAATTGAAATTGCATAACAGACTTTTTGCACAACTGACTATAGTCTGTTACAAAAATTAAGTCCATTGTGCATGGTCAACTGTTGCTGAAGCTGGTTTAAGTGTGAGGCAAATCTGTAAAATTGAAAGTCAAACTCCCAGCAAATTTTACCATTAAATTGCAGGAGGTCAAATGGTGAGGTGATACCTGTACCATCCTATACCCGTTTGTTGATAAAAGTAACATCCCAAGTGGGGAAAATGGTGCACACTTGGGATATGCATGTATTTCCACACAGTGACCCTGCTTTGCACCTGAGGTGTACCAAAGTTCTTCTTTGTCTGCACATGCATATCCCTAATGTGCACAAATTGTGTGTTCACACCAGGATTACTCAGGATCACATTTGTAACAAATAAGTTACACCAAGGTTACAGTTGGGCATTTGTGTGATACTCCTGTTATGTCACATTTGTGCACCAAATTTAGCCCTGGGATGGTAGCAAAATTTCATCTACAGAGGTGCATGCTTGTAACCCTAGAATAGCCCATGTACACCAGTTTTGACCCCAGTGGGCACCAGTTGTGGGGTCACACAAAGAATAGCTCTCCACTCGGGATGATATATACTGAATTTTTGCAGTTGTGGACCTCAAGAAGTACCTTTTCCAGGGGATGAAAGGGTAATCAGTGTCAAATGTGGAGGAGATGGAACAATGTTCATCACAGAAGACAGAAATTTGTATGCCTGTGGAGGCAATACAAGGAATAAACTTGGACTCAATCCTTCTGCACCTGTCTTCAAATTGTTCTCCAATGTATGGGAATTCGAATTTATAACAACTAAAAATATATATCCTTTTAAATAGTCTTTGCACTGACTAAATCTGTTTCAATATTTTTTTCTCCTATACAAACAAAACAGGGCCTGCAGGTTGACAAAGCATTAGTCCCAACAAGGGTGACAGCATTGGGAAACATCAAAGTTGCTGATGTCAGTGTTGGTCTCACACATACAGCAGTTCTCACTGAAACAGGGAAAGTGATCACATTTGGAAGGAATTCAGATGGACAACTTGGTAGAGGTCATACAAGACATAGTCCAAACCCTGGTTATGTCAAACCTTTGGTGGCCAAAGTGGCAACAGTAAGCATCTGCAATTACGAAAAATACTGGGCTACCTCAAACTAGGAATAATTTTGAGAAAGAAATGAAAAATTGGCATGCATGAAAAAAACTATTTCATTGGGTACAAACATTGAGAACACATGTTTGCGTATGGGCATAAAATCAGAATGGAACAAAACTGTTTCTAGTGTCAGATACTCAGATGTGATCTGGAAACTATGCTAGCATTGCCAAGAGGTAAATAATAAGTGTGCATTACAGTTTTCAAGACTACATATCCTTTTCTTAACCCTTGTGCGGCAAAGTTGGACTATTTTTGCAAAATCTTGTGGAACCTCAGAGAGGTTTGGAAAAAAATGATGACAGGTGGTCAAGGGCAAAGTTGGGAAAAATCCTGATGCTTTTTTCTCTGAGCACAGAGAAATTTTGCCAGCAAAATAAAAAAATTCTCAGTTAGGCTACCGGCTTTTTTTTTTATTAATCCCAACTTTGCCTCAGCCCACCTGGAAGGGTTTTGGTGACCTTCCAAAAACTGAAAATGTGGGAGGATACAAAAATAATCTGACTTCGTCCCGCTATGGGAAAGAACCCTCCGCCGTCCAAGGGTTAAAGGTTCATAATGATTTAAAAAACAAGGATATGGATGTTCAAAATTTTTTGAATGAACATATGATTGTGAGCCAGAATTTGGAACAAACTTGAAAAAAAATTGTGGATTAAGGCACTTCTGTGTTTATTGAAAAAAAAATGACTACCAAGGAAATCCACCACTAATTCAAAACTATGTGAAAAATTTAGATGATATGCAGTGGACCTTCTTTCACAATTGTTGGAACTGTGGAAAACACATTGTACATGTGGGGCACGCGTTATATCATGCCCAGCTCCAGGCCAAACAGCTACAATAAGGCAAGATTATGAATTTCAGCAATTTTAAATGCACTTTTGAATCATAATTACCTCACTCATGCGGCACTTTTATCAATTTCCTCAGGACCAAGCAGATGCAATGCCCAACAACAACAAGAAGCAACCTCATCAGGATGGACAAGAAGATCCAGCTCAAGTAAGGCAGAATCTCCATGGAGGATCAGGGTCACAACCAAATGTTCCTTCAAGAATGCAAAACCTAATTGGCTCTGGTAACAGTGGCAATGCCAATTCCAGGCTGGAGAATTCCTTGTCAAGTTCTGTGAGTCAATTTTTTGTTTTTGTTTTTGAAAGGCAATTTTTCATCAATATGGTATATTCATCAGTATCCAGAAGCAGCATACATGGGAGGCACCCCAAGAGACACTCTATCACCCAACCAAAATGATATGCTTTTAAAAGACTCTAACCTTGAGCCCCAAGAAGTCTTAGTGTAAGACATGAATATTGATTGCTGAAAAACTCTGAAATATTCTCAGATTAATTTTGTGTTTGTTTTTTTTTTCCAGACTATATGCTTCCCCAGCCCAGGTTCAAAAAGGAGAAACAGTCAATTTAGCTGGGATTCATTGTCAAAACCAAAATATATTCTTGGTGGTTGACACAACTGTGCCAATACCTAGGGTGCCACCCCCTGGAGTAGCCAATGCAGGTCAAGCTCCAAGAACTTTTGCACCAGATGAAAAATCTGGTCTGACACATCCAGCTGACATTACTGAGCCTGATGAAGATGATCTGGATGATCTGGAAGAAGGAAGACGTTCAAGAGCTAGCAGAAAACACAGTTCAGTTTCTCAAAAGTCTGGAAAGTCAAGGGATGATTTCTTGAATGACTCATATGGTCCTGTAAGTATCGAGCTGGAAATATTTAATTTTTGTAAATTTTCGAATCCACTTTTTCAGTAAAGGTTTACCACAAAGGTATTTTGACAGATTAACTATACTGTGGTTATATTTTTATGATTATGTGCTTCATCAAATTAAAAGTCTTAGGTTTGAATGTTACAAATATTTATCATACTATTATCTCCATCATTTTAATATTCCAATTTTTTATCCTTTAGATGCCTGAGTGGCTCAGAGAAGAATTGAAAGAACCAAGACTTGAAATTCCAAAATCTCAACCCATGGTCAAAGTGGCTTCAGCTGACGATCTTGGAAAATATTATTCAGAGCACCTGCCTGGATCACCATGTTAGTTTATTTCTGTCACGTTTGTTTGGAATTTAAATTATAATAAACTAAGAACTATGAGAAAAAATCTCAGAAAAATAGCGGACATAGCTCCTGATAATCCTGGAAGGTTCAAGCTGCAGGTGTATTACAATGTAAATGATTTTGTCAGATCGAAAAAGGTTACGTTGAAACTTGATTTAATGCAGTGCAATGCGAAGATTGTAGTTGCATCGGTATTTTAGAATAATTTCCTGTGAGAAAAGTCTAAATTAGCTCTTTTCCGTTGTTTGAAGGTACAATATTTCTGCAAGAAATTGTGGAATTTTTGCTTGCCAGGGGAATGCATTAAAAATTGGCTCGCTTGTTTTTCTAGGCCTTCTATGCGTCATTCAACAATAAAAGTGAAAGTAAATAAAAATCTGACACGTTAAATTCATCATCAGCAATACAGTAAATTAGAGAACATTATTTTTCTTTTGTAAGCGTTCAAGGAAAGGATTTATTTTCGAATCTTTTGAAAACTAGTCGTTCCGCGCAAATGTACTTAGAAGCATTATTGGAGAACTTACAATTTTTTTTTTAGCAATTTATTTATTTAAATTTCAGCCCCCGACGTGGGCATGCCAAAGTTTCCAGTGGAAAAACAGATGTCGCTGAAGAACCCGGAACCCAAACCATGGGATCCTCAAATGCTGACGGATGCCCCGAGTCCACAACACAGAAGACGATTTTCTGCACCCGGAGACATTCACAAGAAAATTGCACTTGCGAACAAGGCCTTGCTGCAAGAAAAAGCAGAACATAATACTGTGAGAGCGAAGTTCAGCTGAGCATCATGCAGCGAACCATTATAATTAAATGCATTATTACCGTGCTGCAAAACTTTTTTTTTTAGGACAGAGAGCGGGAGCTGCGGCAGGAAATCTTGAATCTCCAACAAGAACTTGAGGTATAAAATTGTATTCATATAGTTTTCTCGAAGTTTTTTCGGAGAGAAAAACTTACAATTCGCATTTCAAATCATCCGCAGAGATCACACACTGAACGATCAGCGAACGGGCCCTGCGTTGTTCAGTGAATTCGTTTCCAAGCAGCGTCGCGTGGTGCGGGAGCTCATCAAACTCTTTCTTTAGGTTTAAAGATTTGTCAACTAGGTGTCGCTGACAACATACAAGAATGCAATCCTGTTGCCATGCTCCATTCCGCGAAATGTCCCTTCCCTTGCATATTGCAGCCCAGTCGTCGGTCAAGGTTTTCTGTCACGCTGTGCGATCATTCGCGTATTCCGGGCCAATTCCCTGCGATCCTTTCTGCTCTTTCTGCATTGTTTTTCATGCTCTCTTCCCCACCCCATGTCCCTATTGAATGCATGGCCATCCGTTGCTGCTGCTGCTATCGAATGCATACAAAACGCGGAGAAAAGAATAAGGAACCTGTACATTCAAGCCTGAGTCTATTCGTTCCACGACTACCGCCGACGAACACGCCAACGCGAAGTGAATTTCAATTTTCTTGCTGCAGTTGTAAAGGTTTTTATTTTGAAGTGTTGTGGAAGTTGTTGGGGGAAAAAAGAGTCGGAGAAGCAGTGAATATTGCATTTTCTGTTGATTCAACTGATTTCTAGTAGCCCCATTTTTTTACCGTTTGTAAACAGAAACAATAACATGATAAGTCATTCGATTTGTTTTCAGAGCACGTGCGCTCATTTTTCTATTCTAATAATTTTGAATTGGGTGCTTCAATTCGTTTTTAAAGACATTCTCAATAGATTATTCATATTCATATCACAGATTGTGGTAAAAGTTTATTCGCTGTTACGCCTTGGAAAAGTTCTAAATCAGAATTAAGCTCTGGATGTAGGACCCAACAGGAAAAAAGATTACTTGCATGTATAGTTTTCAATTAATATTGAAAAATTCGTGATAAATCATTTCTTTAAAATACTTTTTCGACCCTTACAGATGCTATTTATTTTTTATTCGGAGAATTTCGTGGCTTTTTGTATTTATTTTTCATGGAAAATTGAATGAAAGTACTGTATCAAGTGTACACAGTATATTTATAGGCAGACTTGCAGCCCCCAGTTTACGATGATCAAAAAATGTAAGACGTCGTAATAAAATTTCGCATTGGAAATTCTGAAAAGTTTTAATGAACATAATCCGTCGTCGAAGTAAGAAATGTCCAGCGAAGTAATTGGATGATTACACAAGTTCTTAGGCATTCATTAGAAAAATCAACTTACGGTCCTCCTTTCGGCGTTTGTATGATTGCGGGCTTGTACTTTTTCAGGCTGTTTCTTTTTTTCCGAAAACTGGAAAAAAGTGTTTCTCGGAGTTTTTCTTCCTCGAAAAGAAAACTTCAGTAGTGAATTCAAAGCTATATTTTTGTGAGTCTGTGCCAAGAAACGCGTGTACCCAAAACATATGATCTTCTAATGCTTTATTCTTCCAAAGTACCTGTGAGCCCAACAAAAAAAAAGNTAAACGCATAAAATAATGTACCCAGCAGCAAACATAATAAACGCACAATAAAAGAGAGCCTTTTTTTTTTTTTAGGAAGATTAACCTGACAAAAGAGTGCAATCATTCAGAAAGTTGATGGGGTAAAAAATGAGCAAAAATTTTAGATTTGAAAGAATGAATCACCAAAACAGCATGCACCAAAGAGCCCGTTTTTGAAGAAATAAAATTAAAATAGAGCGCATATAAAAACAGCAAACCTCAAATTTTGATATTTTTTTCTGATACTTCGAGTACTTTACAAGCCCTGTATTCATTTTCATTATTGGTGATGCTTGAATATTTCTCTAAAACCGTGAGGTCCACTTGAAACACGAATAATTATTTGAAGTATATTTCTGCTGCTTGAACTTGAATGCATTTTTTTAAGGGGGACGTTTGAAATCGCGCCATTTTTCTCAATGGTGGAGCGAGAAATTCTCAAGCAAATTCGTCACCTAATTGGTTGGAATTCTGGCGATGGCATATTTTCTCCCGGTGGCAGTGTTGCCAACATGTACGGCATTGTAGCCAGTCGTTACAAAAAATTCCCGAATTCGAAAACCCAAGGGCTTCATGGGTTGCCACCCATGGCAGTCTTCGCCTCCGAAGACGTGAGTTATTATATTGACGCGACGGTATAATTGATACCTGCATTTTAACTCAAACCTTTCCCGATGAAATAATATTTGCCTCAACAAAGTTCTAAATGAAATTTCAATAGTTTCAGTTCCAGGTTATGAACAAAAGTTGGTTGATGAAAGCGTGTGTCGCAATTTTTGGAGAATATTCTACACAATCAGGGAGTCTAGAAAAATCTCTTCAAAAAATTACTTTTCAAGCGTTCCGTTGCGCAGCATGTTGGCTTTTATCACACGATTTCTAAAATTCCCCATCATGACTATTCACTTTAAGGATTAAAAAAAAATTATTTTAAAATTTATATACTTGAGGTTAATTTGTTTCTTGATTTTGAAAAAAGAGCCATTATTCAATCGCCAAAAGCGCACATTGGGTCGGCATCGGAACAGAAAATGTGGTTCCTGTTCGAACAGATGAACTCGGTCGAATGATTCCGGACGATTTGGAATGGAAAATTAACCAAAGCAAGGTAAGAAAAGGGAAACTTGAAAAAAAATATATATATATATACATTCTTGGCAAGAAAACGTACCAGTACTGTCTGGAATTTTTTTGCGTTAAAATTTAGGGTGCAGGGAAGGTGCCAATTTGCGTGATTGCCACCTGTGGAAGTACGGTTTTAGGTGCATTCGACCCACTTCCCGAAATCGGAGCCCTTTGCCGAAAACATGATCTTTGGCTTCACGTTGATGTGAGAATTACTGTACCTTATAATTAAAATCCGACGAATTGTCATCTGAATCGATATATTATGTTACTTATTGGCGATGAATCTATTGATTTTCTTTCACTATACTGTATATCTCCAGATTCACCGGGATACTTCCAGAAAATTTTATTTGACCATGCGGTAGAAAATGACTATAAATGTAAACATTAAAAGCAAAACAACATTTAAAAGGCAGCGTAAATGGCATTGAAAGCAATCCAAAAATTCTCGCCGCAAAAAATTGGGTTCTGATTTTCAAATCAAATTTTGATGCGCAAAATCGCCTGTACAGTCATTTTTTTAATGCATTGTCATGAAAATTACCGACACACAACAAAAAATATTCACGACGAGTATGAAAATTGACCTGAATTTCTGAAACAGTAGCCATTATTTACTATGAAAAAAGAAGCGTGTGATAAAAAAAATCAAGTCGTGTTGAATGATAGAGGTGTAAGATTTACTGAATATTCGAGAAATTATCCGCCAAATTTTGCAAATAGAGTGCTTTTATATTCACTTTTATGCTGAAATTATTTGCTGGATTCGGAAGTCGAATGGATCGGTGTAAATAGTTACCTTTCCGCTCAGAAAATACGCGCAATTTGTAATGCGCACAAATTTGTAAGCATTTTAAACTTTAAATATCATTTCTTAATCGCTGTTATAAATTTAAGAATTAACTGCTGATCAGTTCATCAAAATAGGTCTTTTTCTGAATTCTAAAACCTAAAAAATAAGTTTGAACTGGTTCTTCGTCCGCTTTGTTACCATCTTTTTTTTTTCAGCGCGCGCGAATTTCGAAGCTCAGTATTTTATTTATTTTTTATTGGAAGACTCTTACAGAATTTTTGATATATTTTTAAAATCGACTATACTACGCAGCAGGTCTTTGCCAAAATCCTTTCAGGCATGTATGGGCGGTGCTGTGATATTCAGCGGAAAATTTCGCCACCTCTTGAACGGCGTAGAAGAAGCTGACAGCTTCATTTGGAATCCGCACAAGATGCTCGGAGCACCTTTGCAGTGTTCAGCATTCCTCATAAAAGAACCCGTGAGACTCAATAATACCCCTCTCGAATTCTGTCGAAATAAAATAATATTGATGAAACTGATGCATTGCATATACAAGGGTTCTAACAAAAGTTTTTGGAATTGAAATTATAATGGCTTATAATTGAGCTGAAACAAATTTATTCTGTAAGGAAAACACATTCCTTGGCACACAAAAAATCAGCCCTGCTTGACAAATTTTTTTGAATGTTTTGCAAAATTCAATGAATGAATGAATGAATGAATGAACAGAACACTTTATTTGCCGCTTTTCAGCATTCACAATAAGGTTCACTCAAAATTCAATCTGGCAGAGTTTTGCTCTCCATCACTCAAAATATGAAGCGCCCTTCCTGCAGATTTTGTTGTTGTAGCCCAGCTTTCCCCTCAGAATTCTTGAAATCAACATGGCATTAATTCCAAGGGTTGTAGCTTTGATCTACAGACCTCTGGGCCCATAACCCAGAGGTCCTTTGATCAAAACTACGCTCTGCTACCAATTTTGTGGAGCAAAGATGACAAAGAGCATTTGGATTAATGGATAAATAATTGAGAAACACAATCCACTGGGGAACACGTCAGGGGATAACTCGAAAGTTATCCCAAAACGAAAGAAGGATAAGGTAAATTTTGCAAATAAGCAAATTCACACTTAGACAGAGAAATTGATCTGCACGCCACAAACCAAAGGATACAACTGTGTACAAAATGGGGGAGATAACATGGAAGTTTTAGATGACATTGCGCAACTGGAAAACCCTGTGGGATTCTCCAGTTAAAATATAATTAATTATATTGGTTGAGGTATATTTAATTTTCATATATTTGAACATGCAGGACAACAGTAGTTATTAGTGTATGTTCCTTTGTGTGGGACAACTATACCTTACAGGCTTACAAGGTCTTCCAAGGTAATTCCGCCATTTTCATCAACAGCCGCCATCACAGCAACCAATGTGGTGGCTGTGCTAGGATATACAGTAACAACAAAATCTGCAGGAAGGGTGCCTCATCTTTTGAGTTGAGACCAAAACTCTGCCAGGGTGAAGTTTGAAAAACATTTTTTTTAAATGTCAAACAGGGCTGATTTTTTTGTGTGTCAAGGAATGTGTTTTCTCTAAAGAATAAATATTTTTGGTACTTTCCTGTTATCTTAGTACCTACTTTCCTGTTATCTCTGTACCTCATTTCTAGACTGCACTACCATCCAGACAAATCTCTAGGACAAGTTCATAATCACAGCAACCTACCAAAAACTGTGAATTTTATTGTCCAAGAAACCAACAAAAGCGGAAAGGGATTTGCTGAAACTGATTTTATGAGGTGGTTAGGTTATAGGTTAGGTCAGGTTATGTTAGTTACACATATCTTTCCATTAACATAACCTGACCTAACCTAACTTTACCTAACCGCCTCCCAAAATCAGATTGTACTTTGTGCACCAAACTCAACTGTTATATAAAATGAGGCTTGGAAAGTAGGTACTTAGATAACAGGAAGTACCATAATTTTTCCTGCTCAATTATATGCCATTATAATTTCTATTCCAAGAACTTTTGTTAGAACCTTCGTATATATGGACGAGAACTCTTTTTATTCTCTCTTTTCCTGCTAATGACTTGGATCGTCCAGCAGGGGTTTCTTTTGGAGTGCAACAAGGCGTCGGCGGCGTATTTGTTCCAGCAGGACAAGTTCTACGACGTCTCTTACGATTCTGGCGACAAAAGCGTCCAGTGCGGACGAAAAACGGATTCCTTCAAGCTGTGGGCCATGTGGAAGGCCAGGGGAACGTCGGGGTTCCGAAACCTGGTTGAAAATGCGTTCCACTGTGCAAAGTTAGTGTTTTCATTCAAGTATGACTTCAAGTTTTTGGCACATACTTTTATAAGCATTTCTTCTATTACATTATACTATATAGGCAAAAATTAAAATGGGTTTCATGAAATGTCGAAAAAATGCAAAGTATATGCTGTCTTTCTTTCCCTCTGCTCTTTCTCTTTGCAATGCTCAGCATGTAGAATTACAACACATATTCTTCCACTGTGTTATACATGATGCTGATATCTTAACAAATCAAGAGAGTGTGTCAAAATTTTGGGGAAATAAATCATGTACTGATTATTGAAGATTAATCATGATGTTAGGATTATTTCGAAATCGAAGCATGAAAACAACTACAGTATAATTATACCACAACAGGATATTTTTTTTAAAATCAACATTAGTAGTTATGCGCATTGTGAACAATTCTGAGCCTTGCCTCAATTGTGGTACAAATTCATTTTGATATATTTTTATGTAAAATATTTTGAAATATTTCATAGTCTTACTCTTGACTGCAAATATTGGTACTTTTTTAATGTGAATGCAGTAGAGCCCCATTACAGCAAATTGCTGTTGTTGGGGACCTGCTGCCCCAGATAGTGTGCTACGCGCCTCATTAGTGGAGGCATAACTCAGGTGGAAACTTCACCTAAGGACAAAAACGGGAGAAACAGAGACCCCTTTAAAACCATGAAGCTTTGAGCACTTTTGTTCTTTGAGATTATTCTGAGCCCAGCAGTGTCTTTGACTTTGATTTTTCTTGCCAATTCCAAGCCTCTAAAAAATTGCCTGATCCAGAGTAGTATACTGGATCAAGGCCAGGCACAATAAATAGTAAAAACTCTTTTTAATTCTTCATCTTTAGTTTCTTTACCAGACTGTCTTGAGCTGTCATTTGAAAGCAGTTGTGCATTCAAAAACTCCATGCAGAGCTTGCTGAAAGGTTTTGTGTGATTGTCATTTTTTTGTGTCCTTCAGCAGCAGAGCAGGGAAATATTTGCAAAATTTGGTGGCATGCAGGATTAAAAAAATCTTGCTCAGGTCAGGACTCAGGAGAGCCAAAGTTGGGAAAAATCCTGATTTTTTTCTTTCCACAGAAACATTTTTCTGAAATATAAAAAATGCCCTAATGGGTGGCATCCCCCCACCCCCAAATTCTTGCTATAGGATTATTATTGTGGGTTAACTTCTGCATTAATTTTATTTTATTTAGCTATTTCTATGACCAGCTGAAAGACAAGGACGGATTTAAACTCGTTTTACGAGCAAAGCAAAGCGCCCATGTTTGCTTTTGGTACATTCCCGTGCGATTGAGAGGACAAGAAGAAACTGAAGAATGGTGGAACGAAGTTAGTAAGGTAAGACAAATTTATTCATTTTTAGTGCATACAAGAACGGTAAGGTTCCAATAATTCGCACGAGAATGTCGTTTATGCCACAATTTTGACATTTAGGGTACAATAGGTAATCAGGTAAACTTTTTAAACAATTATGAATAAAATACTTTTCTATAGGTGGCGCCAGAAATCAAGAAACGGATGACTCTGAAAGGCAGCATGATGATCGGCTACCAGCCATTGGCGTCCAAATTCGACTCCTTGAAAAAGGCAGACCAGTAGTGAACAGTAGGGAGTGATTGGGTAGTTGTATACCTGCTTTAGCATAGTCTTTAGCTGTCCGAACCTGTTTTATAAACTGTGTGAAAAAGTCGCTTTATCAATATCCGAATGACGTGACAAAACAGCACAGTGTTTTCGTCGTCTTTATTTTCCCCTCTTTTTTTTTAAGCGTGGACGCGAATGGATTTGGTGTCGATGTTTACTTGGTGTATATCCTCTTGGATGAATGAATAATAAATGAACACGAAAATGTGAGAAATCTTTTTATTTAAAAAAAGGCAGTGGAAAATTTGATTTCTTTTTGCATCGTTTGTTTTACCCATAAAATAATTTTGAGTTCATGCCCGAAAGATGTTTACGAAATGCCAGCACTCAGCACTTTTTCAGTCGTCGACTTCTGGTAGAGAAATCAAGAAGATTTCCTGTGCAGGTGTTTGAATAGTCTCCTAGACACGCTGCAAATTGGGTCACATGTCCTATGTAAGCCAGGTCATGCACTCCATTCACTAGATGAGCCCATGGTCCTGTAAAAATTGAAAAAAACTCGATTTCTTTAAAATTGAAAAGCCAAAAAATGAAATTGAAATTGAAAATCATTGTATGCTCTCAATTCTTATTTCAGAAATCTTGCAAATACTCTGCAGAAAATCCCGCCAAGGGCAAAAAAAACCTCAAAAATATTTTAAAATTAAATACTGTATAACTGAAATTTGAACCCTAAAGGCCCCTCAATTTATTCTAGAGTTTTTACGGGTATATGAGTATTAGTTATTAGTAAAAGTATATTAAAAAGTGAAAAGTTTTCTTGGAGCCCTCTTCTTTGTAAACTTTTAATTAAACGCTGGCAAATAAAAAGACTGAAATTTTAAATAATTTGGGCGTCGTCTTGAAATTTTATTTGATGCAAAATCAGGACTTCGATGATGTAAGAAATGTATCTTTAGATTTTGATTGAGTAGACATCAAATGCATTTCTTTCTGGAAACTTTATGTCGATGAATTCATGTTTGAAGACCTTCAAAAAATGCAATGCCATGTTGAGATTCTTGCGGAGAAAAATTCCAGTCGGTTTTTTGATTGTTAAATATCTTCTGAGGATGATCAGAGGCGGATAATTCGTAATTGAAGAATTTTAATCACGCATGAGCGGAGAGCATTGTTTGAAGAACACAAGTTTCGAAATAACTTTCGCGTTGCGTGGCCATGAAATAGATGCTGTGTTTCTCAGATCACTAATTAGCCTCGTATCATTTCTGGCAATCTAATGAAGATTCGATCAACTGAAGTCCAAATGATAGTAAGGTCAACAAGTTTGAACTGTGTTGATCCAGGGTGAGGAAAACAAGGCCATAGGGCCGAATTTCAATTTATTTAAATTGAATTAAACGTCCCTAGAAATTTTACTTGGAGAAGTTAAACTGTAATAATTGGAGATAAGAGCAAGAGTAAACAGTTAAGATGACATTATTGCCGCCATGTTGAAGTCTGTGTCAGAGTGTTGAATGATAAATTAGAAGAGGAAGAGAATGTAGGGTTTTAAACTTGAGGCAGAGATTTTCAAGCCCTACACCCCAGCAAAAATTTCAGATTGCCGCCTGAGATGGCGGCTATTTTTACGCGTATCCTGGCCGTTTCAGGTGGTGGTCAAACGGTTTGGGATGCAAGTAGGGATCTGTTTTCCTGACGCGGTCAGGATGGGGTAAAAAACGTTTTTAGTTGACGCTTTTGAAAGCGTCAGAGTCTGACGCTTTTAAAAGCGTTTTTAACCTAGTCAAAAACATTTTTCCATGACGCTTTTGAAAGCATCAGAGGCTGACGCTTTCAAAAGCGTTTCTTACGCTGTTAAAAACGTTTTTCCGTGACGCTTTTGAAAGCGTCAGCTTCTGACGCTTTCAAAAGCGTTTCTTA